CGCTAACGTCTAGCTGGGAGGTGTGATGGCCACGAAAGCACTGAACATTCTGAGGACTGATGTTGGGGCGACCCCAGACATCAGGTAGTATTGGGGGGGGGCGAGGCAGGTGCAGCCAGACCGGCGACCAATCAGCGGAGCCGTAGCGATCAACGGGTAGTTTGGTGGTTGGAGTTCGAACAGGTGGCTGGCTGCATACGTTTTTGCTCACCCTGGCAAGCCTTGCTGGTGGTGTTGTCGTTGTTGGACATTTCTTCCATAGTCTTTTTATATAATTGTGAAGACGTAATTATGGAGGGAAGAGCAGGCTCAATCTCTTGAAGGAGATTATCGTCACAATATATATATATATATATATATATATATATATATATATATATATATATATATATATATATATATATATATATATATATATTTATATATATATATTTATATATATATGCAGTTTTTTAAGTATTGGGGGGAAGGATTTCAGTTCTAACATTAGGATGGTGTTCCACACCCTGATGGCTTGGTGCTGCAGTCTGATGTTTAGTGGCTGTATGTTCAGGAGTTCACGGAGCTCCTGGATTGTCTGATCATATGGTGGACGGTGTTTTGCTGCTCTCCTTTAGTGCCTTATTTTCCACTGCTTGCAGTTTCTGCATGTTAGTTTGACACTCCCCCCCCCCCCTCCATCACCCCTATGACCCTCATCCCCCCCATTCACCCATATGACCCCCCCCCCTCTTATCACCTCCCTCTAACGACTTCGGCATCGTGTTTCGGTACGATAAGTCAACAAACAAGCCTGGCAGCGCTTGTGAAGTATCTCAGGTGGAGACAAATATGGCCGCTCACACCACCAACTTGACAGTGAATTATTTTTATTGATTTTATTTTATTTATTTATGTATAAGAAGATACATTGGGGGTTAACAGAGAACATATAAATTCAATTAAATTAAAATTATATGACATGAAAAGTTATTATATGCCGAAAGCAGAGTAAACATGCCGCAGAAATACCAAATATATATTAATAATATTTTTTTATTTTTTTTTAATAATATATTTTTAATAATAATAATAATAATAATAATAATAATATATATATATATATAGGTATATATATATATATATATATATATATATATATATATATATATAGGTATATATATATATATATATATATATATATATATATATATATATATATATATATATATATATATATATATATATATATATAGGCAATCCTGAGTACTGATTATGTTCTTCTCCGAGGCTATGGGTCCCTACACTTGCACCAGAGGTGGTACTCCTTTTTCACTCAAGAGAATGATTCTCTTGAATCGCTAGTAAGCACTAGAGATTTGTAACGGGACTCCATTCATAAAAGATATTAAACAAAGTTAATAAGATAAAATGTGTAAATTTTGTTGAATTCACATATTGTACATCCATAATATTATTAGGCCTATTTGTGCCATGTGCAAATGTATGTAAGCCAATTTATATATTCAATAAACTGTAACCATGTATGAGTTCAAATAAACGAAAAATCCAGAATTAAACTGGTTTGGCGTTGGGTTTAAGGCTAAGCATACCATACTCAGCGTGTGTTGGTTCCGAGAATCAACGTCCCCTGCGGCCCGGTCTCTGACCTGACCTCCTGCTTGGCGGTCTGGTCAAGCAGGCTGGACATTTTTTTTTTATTTTTTTTTAAATACTGTCCTGAAGAGTGGGTTTACTGGGCAGCGTCACTCATCCTGTGAGTGAATATATCGTCAGCTCCTGGACAATGTTGAGGACTAAATTATTCTTGCTGGTTGGTCACTAAGCAACTGTAGAGGCCTTAGTAACACTCCAGAGGTTGGTAGGCCTCTGGTAGGCCTGAAGCCCAACACCAAACCAGCTACCTATATTATTCATAAATGAGGCACCTACGTATAAGGCACCTACATGAATAGGTGCCTCATGAGGCATCTATTCATGCCTCATGAATAGATGTTGACACTTACGTCAACAAAATAAAATTAATTACTTCATCCATTTGTAAATAATAAAAGCCCACTATATAATTTATCATACTGCAATGTTATTCGCATCAAAATCTTTTTCAAACATCGAACACAACCAAGAGCTTCTTGTGTTTATGTCAGTCAGGAAGACAGCAAAGCGGGCAGCAGGCTAGGAGGCGGGGCCCAAGAACTAGAGCCCGCATCTCCGCTACAAGGTAAGGAGCCAGAGATAAGAGTGTGTAACAATCTCAAGGGAAGTGATAGGACTGATACAGAGGACAAGTTCACTATTACAGTAGAACAAGGTGACCAGTGGAAACTTCCACGCATCCAAAATGTTAGACAAAAAAAACATTTGGATTTGACATTTTGGATTTTGGATAACCTCTCAAGATAACGACTTTAGCGTTTACCTGGAATTTGCCCGAAGGGAAGGGAATTATCAGGAGATAGCTCCTAGCCATCACGACTATATAGCACTTGGAAGGGGTCAGGATAAAGAATGGTGCCCAACCATTCGTGTCGCCTGACAGCTTGGTGGACAGCGCTTCGGATTCGTAGTCCTGAGGTTCCGGGTTCGATCCCCGGTGGAGGCGGAGACAAATAGGCAAAATGTGTCTTTCACCCGCTGATGCCCCTGTTACCTAGCAGTAAATAGGTACCTGGGAGTTAGACAGCTGCTACGGGCTGCTTCCTGGGGGTGGAGGCCTGGTCAAGGACCGGGCCGCGGGGACACTAAGCCCCGAAACCTTCTCAAGATAACCTCTCAAGATAAGATAACCCCCTTAGACGGTTGGGGATTGAACGCCGACCTGCAGGAAGCGAGACCGTCGCTCTACCGTCCAGCCCAAGTGGTTGGAATTGGCCCAAAGTTCTTGACGGGGTCTGAGGGCATAGTCTTTCCTCTCGCCTCACCGTCCTGGAGCTAAAGCTCAACCCCCCACGCGCCCACAAACACAGCCGGGTGAAAAACATGGTCATGCGTTCAAATCTAAATCTACATTTAGAACCTCAGAGGTCAAATATACCCCCCCCCCCCCAACAGTTAATTGACGTTCTGGAGGTGCGGAATTTTAAACACGGACATATGAATGTTCACACACGTACAAAACATGTAAACCACCACACACGGCCCAGAATGTATGTGTTCACGTACTAATAGTGTTATCTGTTCTCTTATCTGCGTCCTCACCAGCCTGTCGTAGTTGGCAAGTGGACACATGTGTCCCCTCCTCACTATGTCTCTCTCTCTCTCTCTCTCTCTCTCTCTCTCTCTCTCTCTCTCTCTCTCTCTCTCTCTCTCTCTATATATATATATATATATATATATATATATATAATATATATATATATATATATATATATATATATATATATATATATATATATATATATATATATATATATATATTATATATATATATATATATATATATATATATATATATATACACACACACACATATATACACACCCAACTGCGGCCATCCTAACTACCGACCCCAGCACTGCCTCAACAACCGCCACCGACCCAACGAGTCAACCACCGTCCCCGCCCCAACGACCATTTTACAATGTCTCACGCACATGTTCACGAAAGTGGATCAAAGTCTCAGTGTGTGAACTCACTGTGGTCACGGCTGGCAGCACCCATGGGGGAAGATGTGCAATTGGCGTGTAGGTGTGAGAGAGAGAGAGAGAGAGAGAGAGAGAGAGAGAGAGAGAGAGAGAGAGAGAGAGAGAGAGAGAGAGAGAGAGAGAGAGAGAGAGAGAGAGAGAGAGAGAGAGATACTTGCAGACACATCAAATAATGGGTGTATACATAAGACAAATATTCTCGATAGTCTTATAAATAATACATTTTCAGATATACTTTTATAAGTTATTTACTTCAATTACCTTATCAGCAAAATCCTAATAAATATTATATCAATATGGCTTACCATATATAACTAATGAAAGTGCAATCACTTCCATTGCTCGCCAAATAACTGAATTAAGATGCGCTAAAATGTTACGGTTGAGACATTTGGCGGGAAACTGTTGTGATCGGTTACACTCCGCCGGCGCCACTCGGCCCAGTCGGCGCGGGAGATAAGAGTGAAAGTGAATGAGGCGCGCATGTACGCATAACATAGTTGTATGACGAAGGGAATCGATGACTGAACTTTCTAGCCTTCTCCATGAAAAAAAAAATTACATGCGAGTCATCACTATGATAAAAATGGGCTGAAGAAGAAATGAAGAGGAAATTTTTTACTCTGCTTTGGGAATTACTTGGGAATGGTTTAGACTCATGGTTGATGAGATTGTCTCTTGGTTGACGATGACTTTTGACTGATTCATGGTTGAGATTTACTAGACAGACAATATGGTGGGTGGAGATACAATGCAAAATATTGTTGATTACAGGTCACTAAAAATGAGCAAGATAATAACTAATCTAGCACACTAAATCACCTCCCTCTCACAGACAGCTCTTCAAGCATTTGACTCAAGCCATTTGAGTTCCCTCATTAATTATGGCAACTGCGATATTGGGAAAATCTGGACTGGAAGTAAAAAAATGTTAAATGTTATTTAATAAATTAATTGATTAATGTGATTAATAAATTTGTGTGAAGACTTCCTGTGAGTGAACACGCAGCCATAGGGACAGTACTGGGCAACTATGGTGAAATCACTTGACCATCTGACCAGGGATGGGTGGGAGGTTATGAGTTTGGGTAACAATACATCACTCAGCGGAGTGGTGAGTAAATATACCCACTTGAGACCGTGGGAACATACCCCCCCCCCCCAGCCGGCAGAATGACTGCATGGAACCGCGTACATTTCTAACTCCCAGTAAAAGAAATCAATAGCAGAAAATAAACAGGTGTGACCAGTGCTGCCATAACCGTGAAGAGCTGTTTATAACGTCATATAAACAAGTATGACGTTATAAAAACTGTGTGTGTGGGAAGGCTGCAAGTATTGGCGGGCTTTACTTACCAGCTGTTGCTGTGTAAACACGACTGACTAACGCCACAAGCAGTTCTTCCTGAAAACAAAAATTTGCTCAACTTTAAAATATTTTTATCGTAAACTCTAAGAGGATTAATTTTATGTCAAAATAACTAAACACATTCATTTACTACATAGTGTACTGGTCAGTACTTTATAATTTCAAATATGAATAGGTAGACACACACACACACACACACACACACACACACACACACACACACACACACACACACACACACACACACACACACACACACACACACTCACACACTCAACACACTCACACACTCACACACACACACATATATATTAGGGGCATGACAGTTGAGTGGACAGCGCTCGGGATTCATAGTCCTTAGGGTCCGGGTTCGATTCCCGGCGGAGGCGGAAACAAATGGGCAGAGTTTCTTTCAACCTGATGCCCCTGTTCATCTAGCAGTAAATAGGTACCTGGGAGTTAGACAGCTGTTACGGGCTGCTTCCTGGGGTGTGTGTGTGTATGAAAGAAAATAAAAATTAAATCAGTTGAATGACAGTTGAAAGGCGGGCCCAAAGAGCCAGAGCTCAACCCCCGCAAGCATAACTAGGTGAGTACACATCTATCTACATTTGAAACTGTGTATGGAGACTGCCTCCACCACATCACGTCCTAATGTTTGTACACACCTATTTGCGCCTGCAGAATCGAGCTCTAGCTAGTGGAACAACGGCTTGAAAAACGGGGTATATTCATCAACTGGACATATTCATCAAAAAATGATGAATTCATTTTTGTAAAAGATATACAAATCCATCACTTGCTGTAAGATAAATTACTCATGCATTATTACAAATGCAAATGAATGCAAAATGCAGAATGCACTGTATCTGCATACAAATGCAGAATGCAAAATTACTATTGCTACGAGTTTCATTATTTTTGTTCATTACTAGGCTGTCGCCGACGCAATCTAATCATGTATTTGTTTAGGCTACACATTTATAAGACGTCACTTCCCGCCTTCCCTTTAATAAACCACATATCTAACGACATTTTAGTCGTTACAGTGACGACACAATACATTACAAACTGGCCCCTGACGGCCGATCTCAGGCCTAGAGAGGCTTCCCGCATGATGGCACCACTCATGATTTTGTCAATTTAGTACCAATTTGGTACCAAATTGTACCATTTTGTACCGCAGGTGGCAGCACTGGTGACATCTATACCCTGCTGAATACAGGATGTGTTAAAAGTAGTTTTTAAATGATTTCTTAGCAAAGATGATGGAGAGGTGAAGGAGTAAGTTAAGACACGGGGAATACAGAGTTAATAAGGTAGTAGCGGGCGGGCTGTCTACTGAGCTACCATCATGTGTGTGTGTGTGTTTGGTACCTAAGTTAAGCTTGCTCTCTCGTCAGGGACCCTGAAGCTGTTACCCAAAGCCTCCTTAAAGTACACAAGTAAAGCTGTGAGTGTTTATAACCCTCTTTACATGTATTTCAACATATACAGATGCTTATAGATGATGTAATGTTGAAATAGTAGTTAGTAGTGTTGTTGATACGTCTGTCTCTCCCCACCTTGTTTATCCCTTCCCCCCTCTCTCTCTCTCTCTCCTCTCTCTCTCTCTCTCTCTCTCTCTCTCTCTCTCTCTCTCTCTCTCTCTCTCTCTCTCTCTCTCTCTCTCTCTCTCCTCTCTCTCTCTCTCTCTCTCTCTCTCTCTCTCTCTCTCTCTCTCTCTCTCTCTCTCTCTCTCTCTCTCTCTCTCCCCCCCCCTCCCTCCCTCCCATCACTTCAGCCACCAAGCTCATGTTTAGCCTTTCCCAAAAAATATGTCCATGGAACACAGCCCACCAATCGGCTTACAGCCAGGACTCCAGTTATTGCTTAGTGAACAAGGGCCAACAGTTAAAAGATTGCTGCCCAGGGCTCGAACCCTGGCCAATATTTCTCTCTCTCTCTCTCTCTTGATTATATACTGGGCATATAATAGCGTAAATAAGCGAGACAAAGCCTATCATTACAACAATGCTCCCCCGCCGTGTTTGTCGTCGTATGTAGAGATCTGACTTTCACTGGTGAGCCACCTGCCGCCAGGTAGCAAGAGGGTGTGTGTGTGTGTGTGTGTGTGTGTGTGTGTGTGTGTGTGTGTGTGTGTGTGTGTTGTGTGTGTGTGTGTGTGTGGTGTGTGTGTGTGTGTGTGTGCTGAGTACATACGTGTAGTACATACGATAGAGGGAAAAATAGGTGAGTCAATACATTAGACAACCTACTGTTAGAAAGGCGGGGTACAAGAGCTAGCACCTCGACCACAAACAGACACAAATAGTAAACACCTAGACAGGTGAGTAATATATTACATGCACCAAGTAATAAAGTATACTTATATTCCACAGTATACTTACATTACATATTACTGGGATGAAAAAGGTGGAGAGAGGAGAGAGAGAGAGAGAGAGAGAGAGAGAGAGAGAGAGAGAGAGGAGAGAGAGAGAGGAGAGAGAGAGAGAGAGAGAGAGAGGAGAGAGAGAGAGAGGAGAGGAGAAAAGAGGAAGGAATATTAATATTAATAAAGAAAGGGGTGGAGATGAAGGAGAGTGAAGGGGGAGAGAGAGAGAAAGTGCCCTGGGGATTAGGACTCCGCTCAAGTGTTTGTTATTTGGGTGCTTGTGCTAAGAAGGAGGTGAGAGGGAGAGAGAGAGAGGAGAAAAATGGGATAGAGACGGAATGTGGGAGACGTGGAGGTCTTCGCCCTCTCTGGCATTAGGCCTATATGGCGAGATCACAAGTATATCCTAGGCTCGGGCTCGGGGCTAGGATGGGGGGGGGAGGGACGGGGTTAGCGGTGATGGTGAAAGTAGGGCTTGAGGATTAGGATGATGGATGGGATTGGAGGGTGGGGGTGTGTGTGTTGAGACAAGGATAACTGTGGATAGAATGTTTGGATAAGGATGGGGTGGATGGAAATGGGTGGTGGGTTGGGATAGCAGACGTGGCTGTTGACAACGATCACAGGATTTGCCATAAGCACTAGAACCCCCCTCATGACGGTTGAGAGGCGGGGACCAAAGAGCCAGAGCTCAACCCCCGTAAGCACAACTAGGTGAGTAACTAGTTGTGCTAGGATCCACGGGGGCCTCGTAGCGCACAGGAATCGTAATTCTGTGGCGCGAGTTCGATTCCCGCACGAGGCAGAAACAAATGTTTCTTTCACCCTGAATGCCCTGTTACCTAGCAGTAAATAGGTACCTGGGAGTTTAGTCAGCTGTCACGGGCTGCTTCCTGGGGTGTGTGTGTGTGTGGTGTGAAAAAAAGTAGTTAGTAAACAGTTGATTGACAGTTGAGAGGCGGGCCGAAAGAGCAAACTCAACCCCCGCAAACACAACTAGGTGAACACAACCAGGTGAGCACACGCCCACAGCCACTTCCGCAAGAACAGGAAGAACATACCCACCCTCGGAGAACTGCACATACCACCTGTGAAATATAACACACTGGTGTGAAAACTATATCCAGTCCACCTTGGCATAACGGGGCGGGGGGGGGGGGATAAGAACGTCAACGGTTCTGGCTGGAGGAGGTATAATGACACCACAGCCTTGGGCAGGAAGGAGGAGGGAGGAGGTATAATGACAGCAACGCCAGCATTGGGCAGGAGGAGGAGATATAATGACAGCAACACCAACACAGCAGGAAGGAGGAGAGAGGAGGTATAATGACACCAACAACAGCCTTGGGCAGGAGGGCGGAGGAGGGAGCAGGTATAATGACAGCAACAGCCTTGGGCAGGAGGGAGCAGGTATAATGACAGCAACACCAACAGCAGCCTTGGGCAGGAAGGAAGGAGGAGGTTCCTTCCTGGATGTTATGGCAGCAATTATGAGGAGGTTGTGTCTTGCACATAACACTATCATTATTGGGGAGGTTATGTCATAACCGTGGCTGTATTGGGGAGGATGTGTCTTGGACATAACCGTGGCTGTAATAGGGAGGATGTGTCTTGGACATAACCGTGGCTGTATTGGGGAGGACGTGTCTTGGACATAACCGTGGCTGTAATGTGGAGGATGTGTCTTGGACATAACCGTGGCTGTAATGTGGAGGATGTGTCTTGGACATAACCGTGGCTGTATTGGGGAGGACGTGTCTTGGACATAACCGTGGCTGTAATGTGGAGGATGTGTCTTGGACATAACCGTGGCTGTAATGTGGAGGATGTGTCTTGGACATAACCGTGGCTGTAATGTGGAGGATGTGTCTTGGACATAACCGTGGCTGTAATGTGGAGGATGTGTCTTGGACAAACCGTGGCTGTAATGTGGAGGATGTGTCTTGGACATAAACCGTGGCTGTAATGTGGAGGATGTGTCTTGGACATAACCGCGGCTGTAATAGGGAGGATGTGTCTTGGACATAACCGCGGCTGTATTGGGGAGGATGTGTCTTGGACATAACCGCGGCTGTAATAGGGAGGATGTGTCTTGGACATAACCGTGGCTGTAATAGGGAGGATGTGTCTTGGACATAACCGCGGCTGTAATAGGAGGATGTGTCTTGGGACATAACCGCGGCTGTAATAGGGAGGATGTGTCTTGGACATAACCGCGGCTGTAATAGGGAGGATGTGTCTGGACATAACCGTGGCTGTAA